GCTCATGCCTATAATCCAGCACTTTGGGAGGCCGAGGTGGTTGGATCGGTTGAGGTCAGGAGTTCAAGACCAGCCTGACCAACATGGCAAAATCATGTCTCTACTAAAAATACAAAAAATTAGCAGGGTGTGGTGGCAGGCGCCTGTAATCCCAGCTACTCTGGAGACTGAAGCATGAGAATCACTTGAACCTGGAAGGCAGAGGTCGCAATAAGCCGAGATCATGTCACTGCATTCCACCCTGGGTGACGGAGTGAGACCTTGTCTCAAAAAAAAAAAAAAACAAAAAAAAAACAGTCCTGTAAATGGGCAAAGAATGCCAGGCCAAATCCTTCATACTAAGATTTGGGAGCACACTAGAAGTGTTCCAGATGTGTTTGGTGTGGCAGGTGAACTGTTCTTGTCTGAATGATGTACAATGTGTTGAGGATGGGGTGGGGCATGTGGTGGGAAATGCCTCAGAAGGATTTTAGTTGATGTCAGGATCTTATTGAATACCTACTATTCATAAGTGAAGGTTTAGATCTCAGGGGGACCAGGGATGAATTGAGTCCAGTTCCTGCCCCTGTTAGCTCATTCTGTAGGATAGGGGCCATGTTAGGCTCTTTCAGGTTACCAGTAACCCTGAGGATACATCAGTGGATGAAGGTTTATTGTAAGGGTATATACTGAAGTGAGGACAGCCAGGAAGCCATCTTGGCAGCCAACATGGCCAGGCCTCAAGTGAAAACAAGATGGCCTTGGTTATGCTGTGGATACAGGATTGGCTTGGAGACGCAGCCACTGGTGATCACCATTCTCATGACACAGCTTCTAGAACTCCTCCTGTGTTGCCTCTGCTACTACTGTCCTCTCTTTGGGTCTCATGTCAGAAACTCAACCAAGACAGGCTTGTCACCATATAACACAGACACCCCAAACCCCGTAGTGGGAAGTTCTGTGCCAGGCCAACTCATAGACTGCAGGCCTGTGATTTGGGCCCTGATTCCTTTCCTCATTCATCTAATTAGTATTTAAAAGGAATGCTCTATGCTAAGCTGTTTTATTTATTTATTTGTATATTTTTGAGATTGAGTTTTGCTCTGTCATCCAGACTGGAGTGCAGTGGCATGATTTTGGCTCACTGCAACCTCCCACTCCTGGGTTCAAGCAATTCTCCTGCCTCAGCCTCCCAGGTAGCTGGGATTATAGGTATGTGCCACCACGCCCGGCAAATTTTTGTTATTTTTCGTAAAGACAGGGTTTCACCATGTTGGCCAGGCTGGTCTCGATCTCCTGACCTCAAGTGATCTGCCCGGCTCAGCTTCCCAAAGTGCTGGGATTCCAGACGTGAGCCACCGCGCCCGGCGCTAGCTGTTCTGAGCACTGGGCCTCACTAGTAGAGAGAGGTATCATAAGCAAGTAAACAGATTGAACAACTCCAGATAGGACCACGTGCCAGACTGTGATGCGACGCATGTTCAGGAATTCTGGCTCCTTTAGAGCAGGTGCTTAGGGCCGGCTTCTTGGAGAAAAGGACCGTTAAGCTGAGACTGGGCGGGTGAGTGGGAGGCAGCCACACCGAGACCTGAGGAGAGTGTCCCGGGTCAGGGAAGAGCAGTGCCGAAGGTGGGGAGTGGGGAAGCACGGCCAAGACACAGAAAGAAAACCCGCGTGCTGGAGCCCCCAGTGAACGAGGGCGGACGTAGCTTGTAAGAGACTGAAGAAGCAAATCAGTTAAATGGTTACAGGGCCTTAGAGGCCTTGATAAGAAATTTGCATTTTTGTCTGCTTTAGGAAGCCATTGAAGGGTTTTCCTCAGGCATCGGAGTGCCACGGTATGTTTGGAAAAGATCCCCTAGTTGTTTTACGGACAGAGGGCTCTAGGAGGGCATGAGCTGAGGCACAGAGAGCAGTTAGGAGGCCAGTGCTACGGTCCGTGCTTTGGAGGAGGGTGATGGCAGTGGGAATGGAAAGGAGTCAACAGAATCAGGATCTGTTCAGAGGTAGGACTGACAAGGTTGTCTGATGGATCAGACAGCAAGGAAGGGAGCATGATGTGGATGTCGAGGAGGAGGAGTCAGGCTGCTAGTCCAGGCTCCTAGTCCGGGTCACAGGCTAGAGGCAACATGGATTTGGGAAAGTCAGGGAGGGCGTTGGACTTGAGAGATAAGCTGAGTCTCAGATGCGCTGAACATATGCGCCACTAGAATCGAACGTAAAGCTAGTTCTTAGGGGTTGCTCCCTCCTCGGTCGCACCTCCCTCAAGTGCTTCCTTTCTGCTTCTCTCGCCTTGTGGCAGGTGCTGCCTCTGAAGGCCATTTGTACCTCTGGACTGGGCTACGTTAGGACCCTGCACTGAGAGAACTGACCTGTTTTTCCTTCTGGCCTGTAGGCTGGGGGACCACTTGCCGGCTGCTGCCATAGCTTAGACTTTTACAAATTCTGACAGGCACTTTAAAGCCAGGCACAGTGTGACTCACACCTGCACCCCCATCTACTCAAGAAGCTGAGGTGGGAGGATTGCTTGAGCCCAGAAGTTCAAGGTATAATGAGCTATGTTCATGCCTGTGAATAGCCACTCCACTCCAGCCTGAGCAATAGAGCAAGACTCATCTA